AAGTGACAAGTGAGCTCTAATTTTTAAATTTATTTATCAAAAAATCAAATCAACAATCTTCCCATTGACAATCAAGATCACCATTCACCCAAAGCTAGATCTGTATAATTAGCCACAAGCCAAACTTTGCATTTTCAGTAGTGTTTCCTCTTTGCTGTTGTGGTGGGAATTGTTCAGTCTGGCTAATACTGGAAGGGAGTTTGAACAGCGATACAAGGAATTGTTTGTCTGATGACAAACACACCTTATTCATCTATTCTTGATCCCATGAAAGAGCTGACAGCCACCAGGGCAGTTTCACTGGCAGCCCAAGCTATTTGAATCTGAGAATGTTGTCTTCCCTGATTGCATCCAGGAAGGTTTGAAATACCAGCCTGGTGGGGAAAGCAGGACTGTTGGAGGCAGCGACCTTGCACAGCCAGGCCAGGAAACGTGACCTTGTCTGCATTCACACTTGTGTCCATCACCAGAGCTCCAGCTCAGAGGGAAGAAGGTTTTTATTTGAGCTGAGATGTGCAGGTGTGAGCTGCCAGCTGCTCGGGAAGCCCAGGTCACTGCCCTGCCCCGGCTGCTCTCAGCTCTTTGTGTGCCTGCCCATCTCCCTTCCGGGCTGGCACAGAGATTAAATTCAGGAACACCCCCTTGAACAGAACAGTTCATGGTTCTGTGTACTGCCTGTGCTCCTGTCATCATCTGGAACCACTTTTTTCATCAGTTTCCAGTGGCTGCTGAGGTCTGAATTTCTCTCCTGTGTCTGTGTCCCATAACCCCAAAAGTAAAAGGCTTTAGGACACTTCCCGATGTGTCTGGATTCATAAATTACTGAAATTCCAGGTTAGTGCTCCTTTCCTTCACCTGAACTTTCCCTTGGTGGAATGTGTCCCATGTCATGAATATTTTCAGCCTCCCCTTCTGCGCACACAGAGCTCTGGCAGCTCCCAACCTGCAATTACAGCTCTTCCTCATCAATATTTAAATGGCAGCTCAGCTTTCAGACAGAGTGCACCGGTGACAAAGATCGAGCTTTCTGACCTTTTGTTAATTTGCTCAGTGAAATAGGATTCCCATGGTCTCATTTTTTGTATTTAAGAGAAGACATTTGCATACAGAGAGGGTGTTGGCTTTTCTCATTTTTGCTGCTAATTTTCTTTTGGTACATTTGTTCTGGTAGATCTTAAAGGAAAACATCACTGGTTAGTTTTATCAGTTATGCATGAGAATATGAAAGATAGAATTGAAGAAAAAAACCACTTGGGTTCTTTATCAGGAAATGATAAGAAACTGTTTTACCATTGTGGAAAAAAAAATCAGCAAAAAAACAAAAGTAGAAATGTGTCTAGACCAATGGAGAAACTTGTTATCCCACACTGCATTGGAAAGAAATGCAAACTGTTTATGATAACAGTGGAGAGCAAAGCTGGAAAATCCCAATTACTGCTTTGGAAATGAAATGATCTATTCTGGAAAATACAGCACCTGCAGATCCCCAGAAACTGAACTGACAGAAGACTAAACAGTGAAGTGTGTCAGTGTAATCACAGATCCACTGGACTTTCAGGAACTGCAAAATGAAAATTGTATCATGGTTTTGTAAACCTTAGCTAAAACATGTGGGTTTCTTTGTGTTTGTTATGAGTTTATTGTGGATTTTTCAAAGGAAGGAATGCTTGCAGCTCCTGGAGCAGAGGCTGGGCAGCCAGATCCTGGGAAAGCTCTGGTGCTGGCCCTGTGGTTTTGTTAGCTGCTCTTTGTTTCCTGTTCTATAGGCAGCCATACATGAATGGCCATAGCTATAAAGTTGATTAAAGAAGGGACCTAATTAAGGGTTGTAATTAAACTAGTGGAGGAAATGACAACGGAATTGAAAATTCAGAATGAGCTGTGTGATGTAAAGGCTGATGGTGCTGAGGCAGTAATCTGTATGAAATAATTGATTCTGTAGCCATTAGTCTTTTCTAATGAGATTAAGGACGAGGTGGCACGATCTCGCTAATTAATTTGTTTTGTGACTTTGAAATGTGATGTAATGGGACGAAACTGGTGATTGTTTAACACACCAAGCTCTCAAATTGGAAGACAAATATCAAAGTAATTCCACGTTCTCAGCTGTTACAGGGCTGGGGATAAGATTTGACTTAACTGAGACATCAAACCCACATCCTGATGGTCCAGCCCAGCATGGAGAGATTCCAGGGCAGGGCTCCTCCAGCTGCCTCTTACCTTTTTTATCTTTTTGTGGAGGCTCCAGGAGAGCTGCTGTGGGCACATCGTCCCTGGGAGCCTGTGCAGGTCTGGGATCTGCAGCATTTTCTGTGCTCTGGGTGCTGCATGGTGTCACTTCCCTTCTCTGCATCTCTGCCCCTTGTCCTGCATCACCACAGTGCAGGGGATGAGTCTGGAGGATCTTTAACCTAAGAAATCAAGAGTGCTCCTAATCCAAGGCTCATCTTACTGTGGCCTGCTTACACTTAATAGGACAGTAATAAATTGTAATAAATTAATTCTAGACAGTAAATAAAATATGTCAGCTTGGTTAGTATCTGTATTGAATAAGTCTCTGCACACACACACAGAGTGCAGAGCTGCACAAGTACTGCACATTGTAATATTGCCGATTGTTCACTAATGCTGAATATTATTTTATTATATATTCACTAGTTCACTGATACTTTGTTATATATTCACTAATAGTGAATATTTATACTCTGATAGAGGCAACAGGAAAGAGACATGTTAAAAGCAGAAGCAGGTCAGGAAAATCCTTTCTATTTCAGAGGAAAGATTGAAATGTGTTTTGTGCAGGATTTATTGAAGTATCTTACATTAGAAGCTCAAGGTTTAAACATTGCTTCAGTAGAGTGATAACTTGCAGTTTTTGGCCTTTTGCCTCCCATGCTGGATGTCACTGTCCTGTGCAGCCTGGCTGCTGGCTCTGTGGTCATTCCTCATGTGCAAGCCAGCCCCAAGGACAATTCTGAGTTATTTCGGATGTACAGTGAGAGATCATCCAAGATGAGGCAGTGACAGCAGCTTTCAAACACCTGTTAAATGTCAAAAACAAGCCTGAGTTGTCCTGCCAGGGCTCTGGCTCCTGCAGCTCAGCTCCTGTCCCGGAGCCCAGGAGCAGCCTCCTGCCTCTCCAGCTCCAGCAGGGATTTTCCTAGAAAGACTTTTCGTTTTCAGCAAACTCTGCTGGCCTGGGTGTTCTGCAGCCAGGTGTCTGGGAAGGGTCAGCTCCTCCTGCTGCTCCTGTCACCTGAGACTCTCCCAGTGAAAGCCTGTAAGGGCTAGAACCGTCAGGTTATGGCTCTGACAGGGTTTTACCTGCCTTTATGGACCCTGCAGGCACCAGAGCTGCACCTTTGGGAAGCATTCCCCATTTCTGCAGGGAGCTCTTGATCTTTATTCTCAGAGAGCCCTAAGGGAAGGCTGCAGTTCCACAGGAGCGGTAATAACTCTTTGCCAAACCCCACTGTGACTGCAGATCCCATGCTGGAACGCCCCGCTGCAGCTGTGAACTCGCATTTTGGGGGCCCGTGCCCACCCAGCATCGCAGTGCCACTGACGCAATCCCTGCACAAGCACCTCTGTGGTGTGGTGTGCTCACTGCCCTGTGTCTGCCAGGAGTGATGCCCATCTGCAAACCAAGCAGGGTGACTTCCCAAAACAGCTCTTTCCCCAGCGAGGGCTGTCACAGGGCTCTTCAGCAGCCGGCCTGCGCCCCGAGCCACCAGCCAGGTCCAGGAGGGTTGAATTTCCATCCTGGGCAGCTGGCACAGCCCTGCTGCTGCCCAGGGGAGTCATGAATTATGGAAGCCGTGGGCTGCCAGCCAGCCCAGCGGCTGTGGGAGGCCTCAGCCCCTCCGCAGCGACCTGCCCTGTCCCCCAGCCCAGCCTTGGGGCTGCACCGCGGCCGGACTCGTGCTGATGGGGACACCCAGCACTGTGTAAGTAATGGCCTCTAGGCTGGATGGAGGTGTGGGTGCGGGTGGGAGTGTGTGTCGGCGACTCCGTGCAGTCTGTGCCACTGTATGAGCTCCTGCACACAGCTCAGCTCATGGCTCTGCCACTCTGGCTGTGGAGGGACCGTCCCAAGGCATTCGTACAGTTCCACTCCAGGGAAGAACTGATCCATGCTTCTCATCCCCTCCTGTTACGGTGAGCTCATGGGCACCCTGTGCCCCCTTCCCCGGGACCCTGTGACTCTGATCACGATAACCCCTGGGTCCTCCTTCCTGCCCCAACAGGGTTGGCAGGGAGCCAGGAAAGCCCACCCTGTCCAAAACCTATATAGACCCCTGAGATTTCCTGTGCTCCCTCTGAGGATCCCCCCAGTTTTCTCAGAAACACGTGGACTGCAAAGGAAATTGCATGAAAATGTAGAGCATTTGAGGGGGCTGTTCCCAAACCTTTCTGAAAAGGAATTTGAGAACGTTGTCTTCACTGATTCCATCAAAAAAGGTTTGAAATACCAAATGTAAGGATCCCCATTAAGCTAAGGAGTACTGTGAGTTGAGTGGGCGAGACAGCAAAAACCCTCCAGGATTTCTAATGGTGCCTTGTGTTAACCTTTGCTGGGAACTTGTTAATGCAAAGAGAGATTCTGGCAAACCTGCATGCTGCAATGAAAAATATTGGACAGAATTTTCTGCTTCATTCTATGTCCCTACATTTCTTAGAGAAGAGACTGAGACTGAATTTTTTTATTTGCCCTCTGAAATTATTTTCTTTCAGCATACCAGTGATGACACCATTTTAAGGCTTATTTTGGAGTTTTTGTCTGACTTCAGTCTTGCTGCCTGCCATGACAAAAATGTTTATTCAGCAAGGCTGGGTTTATTAATTTAGATTGGCTTTTATTGTATGTAATGGATAATTAACCATCATTTTCCTGCAGCATTTGGGGGCACATGAGGGGAAGCCCATGTGCAGTGGGAAGAGCAAGTGTGAATGGAGCTGTAACAAACTGGCCACTGACTTGTTCCCTTCATCCTGCACAGGTTGGAAATGATCCCTCGTGCCTGCAGCCTGCAGCTTCACAGGAAATACCTGAGCAGACCTGGTTTGTAGAAGAGACACAGGTTCCAAGTCCCATGTCACCACCTTAGATCCAAAGCGCCGTCCCTGGCAGCTCTTGGTGAGTCCTGCCTTTGTTTTCGGCTTTGTGGCAGCTGCTGCATTTGAGAAGTTTTGTTTTGCAGTGCAGGCTGCTGCTCTGGGCTGGTTTTGGGGTTTGTTTGCTGCTCTGGGCTGGTTTTGGGGTTTGTTTGCTGCTCTGGGATAGTTTTGGGGTTTGTTTGCTGCTCTGGGCTGGTTTTGGGGTTTGTTTGCTGCTCTGGGCTGGTTTGGGGGTTTGTTTGCTGCTCTGGGCTGGTTTTGGGTTCTGTCTGCATGTGCACAGGTTCAGGGGGTTGGGGTTTCTGTGGGGGAGGTTTTGGGAGGGTTTTTGTGCACCCTGCTCCAATGCACACTGATTTCCTGAGCTCCTGCACAGCCACGGCAGGACTGACACTAAACACTCCTGTGTGCTTGTGATGCAGCCCAAGCCTGAAACGAGGGTGTGAAGGCCAAGAATGTGACACAGATAATCCCAGTGCTGCCGAGAACGTGGCACAAATAATTGCAGTGCTGAGCTCTGCATGCATGGACAGCAAGTGCAGGGTGCTGGGCACAGCCCGTGGCTCTGGCAGCACATCCCAGCCTGGCCTGGGGCATCCCCTGGCACCCCACTCTGACCAGCAGCAGCTGTTTGCTGTGTGCATTTCTGTGGGTTTGCACATGCTCTGCTTTTCAGGCACTTTTTGAATTCAGAGCAGAAACTTCTAGAAGGCCTGGTCAGTTAGCTGGTTCCCATCTCCTGAGTTATGGGATGTGGTTCATACATCACCTTTGATCTTCAAAGCACTTTGCCACCAGTAACTAACAGAACAATTTAAAGAAATTTCATTTTAAAATACCATTTTTAAACCTTATGTTCTCACTGTTCTTCTTTGTACCTCTCTGAACTGAAAGTAAAGGCTTAAAGCTCTGCTTTAAGAGCCTGGTGTTTGAAGCTTGAGGTTCTAAATTTGGTGCTGGATTTATCCATTTGAAGGATATGAGTTTGATTGCATCAGAAGTAATTATATTTAATATGACAAGAGAAAAGTGCATAAATGTGATATTTTGAACGGCTGTTAATGCCTTCTTTGCATCTCTGCTTCTGAAAGGAATAATTACACAGCAGTGATGTGAACGGAATGCTAAGGTCTGGTGAAAGGCATTTCTGGTGAAAAAGTGGAGTCAGTCCTCTCATTTGTACCAGATTTCCCTCAGCAGGATGCCCTTGGGAAGGAGGGGCTGTTTGCAGAGCCAGCCCCAGCCCCTCACAAAACCCACCTGGGCATGCCCTGGCTATCCCCTCACTCACAGACCAGTGCCCCCAGGGAGCAGGTGCTGCAGAGAAAGCCTTGGTTTGGGTCTGGGTCTTGAGAGCAAAGAGAGAAAAGATTGCTTGCAGCAGGCAGGCTGTGAGTGCAGCCAGGGGCTGTTCCCTCTGCTCCTGTGCAGGATTTGGGGAACACGTGGAATCCAGATGGGCAAAGGCTAAATGAACCCTGGGCACCCAAACCAGCCTCTGGTAAAACACACGTTTTGGAGCTTTGATAGTGACAGAGCCAGGAGCTCTGACACCAGAACTAGAATTTCCCAACAAAATATTAAATAATGTTTTTTTCATACTGTACTTACAGTACATTGGGGCTAAATTTGAACCTACTATTCTCTGCTCTTCAATGTTTCATGAGCTGCTGCAGCTGTATCAATAACAACTTTCAGCCATTCCCAGTGCGGGCCAGGAAAGCAAGGTGCAGTGTTTCCTCTGGCACTGGTGTCCCAGCAGGGTTTGGCTGTCCAAGGAGGGCTGTGTGTCAGCAAACCCGATTTCACTGTGCGTGGAGCTGGTCTGTTCCTTCCAGAGCAGATTCCCTGGGCCTGCTCTGCTTCCCTGCACTAAAGCAAATTTTACCTGCCCAGCCCCAGCCCTGCCTGGGCACCTGCAGCTGCCTCAGCTCCTGGGGGAGCAGAGTTTGTCTGGAATCCCGGGTTTGTCTGGAATCCCGGGGTTTGTCTGGAATCCCAGGGTTTGTCTGAAATCCCAGGGTTTGTCTGGAATCCCAGGGTTTGTCTGAAATCTCAGGGTTTCCTCAAATCCCAACGTTTCCTGACTCCCATGTTTCTCTGAATTCCCAGCTTTCCTGGATTCCCAGGTTTCCTGGATTCCCAGGTTTCTCTGAATTCCCAGGTTTCTGTGGATTCCCAGGTTTCTCTGGATGCCCAGGTTTCCTGAATTCCCAGGTTTCTCTGAATTCCCAGCGTTCCCAGATTCCCAGCTTTCCCGGATTCCCGGGTTTCCTGACACCCCCTGTGCTGCCTCTGGCCCCCCTGTGCAGAGCAGGAACCTTTGGGGCTCCCCCAGGTGCTGCTTTGCTTGCCCAGGTCAGAGCAGAGGTGTTGCCATTGCTGTGAGCAGCAGAATTTGTCACTGCTCCCTGCTGAGAGATGGTTTCCAGTCCCCCAGAGGTGCAGCAGGGTGGGTGGGAGACAGCCTGACAATAAAAGCAGGAATTGTCAGGCTGGAAGGGCTGTGGCTGTCCCACAGCTGGCTCCAGGCAGGGAACTGCCTCTGGCTGCTGTCTTTGTGTGCCCCTACACAGGGGAGAGTTTTAGCAATGGCCAAAGCCAGCATCTGGGCTGTGGAAAATGCTGCTGATGATAATGTGTCTGAATTTTGCTAATTTGGCACCTCCTTTCAGCGTTTTTAAACATTGAGTCCTAGTGAGCTTTACTATTCCATCAGCAGTTGTCTCTCCACATCATTGCAATGGCTTGTACAGCTTTCCATTTCTAATGGTGTTTTCTAGATCAGCTTTTACCTGTGTAAATGCAGAATTCTGTTTGGAGTTTATTGATACACTGCCAGCATAATAAAAGCTTTTCTTAGCTGCAGGCTATGGAGGAAACTTCCATCAAAAATAGATCTTAATGGCGTTTTAAAAAGCATTTTTTTCTAATCATATTTCAAGTAGCTCATTACATTCCTGAATGAGTAGAAGCAGGAAAGGATATTTAAAGGCCCAAACAATGAGACATGTCCAGGGTAAGACTGGATTAAATTAGCAGCCATGAAAGCAGGCTGACCTTTCCTCCTCCTCCCCTAGAGCACAATATTCCCACTGCCACTGGTTAAAAGGGCTGTTGGCTTGAAACTGCCCTTGGAATAAAGACACTTTGACGTTTTCCTGCCCTAATTACATTTGTCTCTTCTTTAATCATCTTTAAGACAAAATAGTATGTCTGAGGAGAGAATGGGATTTAATTAACTTTTTTCGTAATGAATCAGACTGCAGAATCTTTCAAGGCTTCTTGTCCAGCACAGTGGTTGGAGGCAAAGTATTCAGAAAGTAAAATCCCAGAATCAAAGGGGCACAGGCACCTTGCCCTGGAGAGAAGAGAAGTGCAAACTCTTCAAATATTCTGCTGTAACATTTCAGTTAATAGAAGATAAAGTGCAATTCCAGACCTGACCAACATTTGCACAAGTAGCTGCAAGGTGCATTTTAATGGATTTGATCTTTTGCAGGGTAATGCTATTGATGAAATGTTGCAAGGTAAGAAAAGAGGTGTGTGGGTGGATATGTGCTAGGATGGGACGAGCCACTCTCCAGCTGTGACCGAGGGCAGCAGGACTCCCCTGGCTGTGGCAGGGAGGTGTCTGAGGGCTGCTGGGCTCCCAGCTGGCACTGCACAGCAAAACCCTCCCAGTCTTTGCTGGTGCTGTGCTTTTGTGCCACAGGACTGAGCCTTGTGCCTCTCTTTGCAGTATTCTGGCTGAGTTACTCGGGTCACTTCGGAATCCTGTGCTCTTACCTGTTTATTTATGTCCATGCTCTCAAATTCTCCTCTAATTGCTGACTTACTTGTGTGTCATTAAGAAATGTTCTTCATTCCTTAGACTGCAGTTTGGTTTGCAGGTGAGTGTGAGCAGTGCTTCAGCAGCTCCCCATGCCTCATCCCTCGGAGGTGACACTGCCTGCTGCGCTCTGGGTACATGAGCAAAGCTCACAGCAGGATTTTCTGCCAGTTAAAAACACTGATTTTCAGTACTGATGGAAGGGAGAGCTGTGCACCTCTGGCATTTTGTCCTTGTCACTGCAGAGAGCATTTCTGCCTGGGGAAGAGGGGCAGCACCTCCACCTGCTGCTCGCCAGGTAAATTCCTGAGGTTCAGGGGTGCGTGCTGCTGGCCGAGCTGTCCTGGGCACAGCCCAGCCCACCCAGGCCTGTCCCTCACTGCTCCCCTGCCACTGAAAATGAGAAACAAGGCTGGGGATGGGGGCAGGCAGGGGCAGGCTGTGGCTCAGATGTGAGATGTCAGTGTTGCTGTTTTTAGTTTTCCTCCGGGGATTTAAGGGGAGATGACTGGAGGGAAGCTGGCTGAGCTACTGCCCTGCCAGTGCCTTGTTTCCCTTGTGGATTATCAGGGAACTCCAATCTGGTCCCTCTCATCGGCACTGAACCACTTTCCAAAGAAAGCCAGTGCATGTGACCATCAAAAGCAGTTCCATTTTTAAAACACTCTGGCAATTCAGCTCAGGCAGCAGAAAGGAACACCAGTATGCATGAAAAGGTTGTTGAGTGTGGAAATAGCGAAATACATAAACCTGGCAATCAAATCTGCACGTGGCTGTCGCTGTTCAGAGTGTGCATTCCTGTTGGCACTGTCCATTGGTGTTCCTTCTCTTGGCCTGTCTGGGCTGAGCTCACATCAGCACAGACACCAGAGCCCAAGGAAACGGTGATTAGCATATTTTAAACGTTCCTGCACTGACTGCTTAAATACATTTGCATTAATAGAAGGATGAGACCTACTTCATGATGTTCTGTGCATGACAAAAGCTAAAAATAGTTCTATTAGAACTTTGGCTGCGGCTCTGCTAAATTTTAGCAGTTTGGGGGGAAGGAAAATACTTTTGAAAGGTTATAATTAATGAGTTACGTGTTGTTGGGTTTTTTCCTGAAGTGTACCAAAATAACATGAAGAAATTGGGACAAGCACGCTTTTTCTGTGCCTTGGCATTTCGAGGGCTGCAGCCTGGCT